TAGTAGGGTTTACTTAAAATAATTCTCAAAAATTTCTAGCGTGGCCAGGCACGGTGGCTCACGCCTATAATCCTAGCACTCTAGGAGGCTAAGGCTAGAGGATCACTTGAGCTCAGAAGTTTGAGACCAGCTGAACAAAGAGCGAGACTCCATCTCTACCAAAAAGAAAGAAAAATAAATAAATAAAAATAGAAAATTAGCCAAGCATTGTGGTGAGAGCTTACAGTTCCAGTTATTCCAGAGGCTGAGGCAGGAGCATCACTTGAGCTCAGTAGTTTGAAGCTGCAGTGAGCTGCGATGAGCCCACTGCACTCTACCCAAGGTGACACAGTGAGACTCTTTCTCAAAAAAAAAAAGTACATAAAAAATTTCCAGGCCGGGCAGTGGTGGCTCACGCCTAGCACTCTTGGAGGCCGAGGCAGGTGGATTGCTCAAGGTCAGGAGTTCAAAACCAGCCTGAGCAAGAGCGAGACGCCATCTCTACCAAAAATAGAAATTAATTGGCCAACTAATATATATAGAAAAAATTAGCCGGGCATGGTGGCGCATGCCTGTAGTCCCAGCTACTTGGGAGGCTGAGGCAGGAGGATTGCTTGAGCCCAGGAGTTTGAGGTTGCTGTGAGCTAGGCTGACGCCACGGCACTCACTCTAGCCTGGGCAACAAAGCAAGACTCTGTCTCAAAAAAAAAAAAAATTCCAGCACTCATTTGTTTTCCCTTTGCTTGCTCTTAATTCATTTCTTTATAAGCACATACTAAACATCTTCTGAATGCATATTATATGCAATAGTTGTGAATAGTATAAGAAATTACAAATTAACTGTCAAAAAAAAGTAGGTTGTGCGAAGTTAGACTTCTTGTTGGCATTGAAGACATTGTACTGCCAGGCATGGTGGCTTACGCCTGTAATCCTAGCACTCTGGGAGGCAGAGGCGGGCGGATTGCTTGAGGTCAGGAGTTCGAAACCAGCCTGAGCAAGACCCCATCTCTACCAAAAATAGAAAGAAATCAATTGACCAACTAAAAATATATATACAAAAAATTAGCCAGGCATGGTGGCGCATGCCTGTAGTCCCAGCTACTCGGGAGGCTGAGGGAGTAGGATCGCCTGAGCCCGGGAGACTGAGGTTGCTGTGAGCTAGGCTGATGCCATGGCACTCACTCTAGCCTGGGCAACAAAGTGAGACTTTGTCTCAAAAAAAAAAAAAAAAGAAGAAGACATTGTACTGGAAGTTCAAGACAGTATAATCAAACAGAAGAGGAAATAAAAGGTATACAGATGTGAAGGAAGAACTGTCCTTCTTTTACAAGTGACATGACCATGTTTGTAGAAAATCCTAAGTAATCTACTCCCAAAAAACATTAGAATAAGTTTTTAGCAAGGTTGCAGGGGTCAAAGTAAATATGGATTAATAGTAATTCTACATACTAAAATGGAAAATTGAAATTTAAAAATCATGAAGTAGGTCAGGTATGGTAACTCACATCTGTAATCCTAGCACTTTGGGTGACGAAGGCAGAAGGATCACTTGAGCCCAGGAGTTCAAGACTAGCTTGGGCAACATGTGGAGACCCTGTCTATACCAAAATAAAAATAAGATTATCCAGTGTGGTGGCACATGCCTGTAGTCCTAGCTACTTAGGAGGCTAAGGCTGAAGGATCACATGAGCCCAGGAGTAGAGGTTACAGTGAGCTATGATCTTGCCACTGCACTCCGGCCTGGACTACAGAACAAGACCTTGTATCTTAAAAGAAAAAAAAAAGAAGAGGCACAGATTAATGGTATAGAATAGAAAGTATACAAGTAGATCCTTGCATTTTATTTTTGACCATTTGGTTTCCACAAAGGTACCAAGATAATTCAACAGGAAAAGAAAAGTCTTTCTCAGCTTTCATAGGCATTTAACACCAAAATTATCTGATGGATTTTTTTGTTTTCTTTTATTTTGAGACAGAGTCTCACTCTGTTGCTGGGGCTAGAATGCCATGGCATCAGCATAGCTCACAGCAACCTCAGACTTCTGGGCTCAAGCGATCCTCCTGCCTCAGACTCCTGTGTAGCTGGGACTATAGGTGTGTGCCACCACGCCCAGCTAATTTCTTTCTTTTTTTTAAGTAGAGACGGGGGTCTCGCTCTTGCTTAGGTTGGTCTCGAACTCTTGAGCTGAAGTAATCCTCTGGCCTTGGCCTCCCAGATTACTAGGATTACAGGCGTGAGCCACCTTACCTGGCCCCAAAACTATCTGAATTTTGTCCCTGTAGTCTACTTCAAAGTATTGAAGAAAAATCAAAGTTTCACTGATTATTCTTATCAACTAGAAAAAAGGGGGTATAAAAAAAGTTATTGTAGGGAAACAAGGGAAAGCGCTTATCTTCTGTGGTCCTGTTCAATTCATATGGATATAGGGTGACAGAGGATTGCCACATTACTCAATCCAGGAGAGTAATGATAAAAAAAAAGTCTAAAGCAGAGAAAATTTAGCTCTGCTTAAAAGGAGTCTTGGGCCAGGTACAGTAGCTTATGCCTGTAATCCTAGCACTGTGGCAGGCAGAGGTGGGAAGATCACTTGAGCTCAGGAGTTCAAGACCAGCCTGAGCAAGAGAGATACCCAGTCTCTACTAAAAATACAAAAATTTGCTTGGCGTTGTGTTGAGTGCCTCTAGTCCCAGCTACTCAGGAGGTTAGGGCAAGAGGATTGGTTGAGCCTAGGAGTTTGAGGTTGCAGTGAGCTATGATGACACCACTGTACTCTATCCAAGGTGACAGAGCAAGCAAAACTATCTCAAAAAAAAAAAAAAAGAAGATTCTGGAAAAACCCACAATTATAAAAAATTATTAATATTTTTATGTTCCCCAAAGGTAATAAATTGTTTTAAGTGATTGATGTCATAGTGGTATTTATTCTTAATATGTATAAGGCACTGTGCCAAGGAGCTTTTTAAAGAGATATATCTTTTAATCCTCACAGCAATCCTGTGAATTGCAGTTTGAAGATAAGGAAACTGAAGCTTAAAGGATTATGTAACTTGCCCGTAGTCATATGGTGTTAGTAAGCTAGTAAGCTAAAGGACTTTAATGGGGCACCCCAAATTAGCTAGAATAATTGGAAGAGAGGATTTCATGATAGATGAGATTTGAGATAAGCCCTAAAGTATAGGTAAGATATATTTAAGCAAAGGAGAGGAGAACAGAGGTAAGAAATAAGAGTAGGGAAGCAGAATAAGTGATGTCTTAAGGTAGAAACATGGTATGTTCAGGAAATTGTAATGGCAGTTTTGAACAGCAGATAAGATGGATAACAGTGGTATTACTTAAGTTGAGGGAATCATGTAGGATGCATTCAGGGAGGGGGGGAGTTTAGGAGGTAAAGTGGTCTAGGCATGAATAAAAAATCTTGGTCAAGAATACAGAAAACTTGAATAAAATAGAGTGAGTTGCAATGGATATGTGAAATATTTCGAAGTGGGCTTTGTTGACCAAAATGGCTGCATAATGGGGAATGAAAGAAAAGAAGCCAATATTACTTGGATTTTAAACCTTTAATAGAAATAGGGAGTTGGTTGGGAAAGAGAACCTTTGAAGAGATATAAATTTGGTTTTAGTTATGTTCAGCTTGAAACTATAATGAAAAATTGGAGAAGAGTTATTTTGTAGGGAGGTGGAAATAAAGGATTAGAGTTTAAGTAAGTTTGGGGGTAGAGAGAAATTTACATGTACTCAGCATAAGTGAAATATTTTCAAGGCCCTGAGTCCAAAGGTACATCTAACTTAAAACAGCTTGTCAGGAGAATAAATCTTATACTGCCTCTGAATGGATTTTAAGCTACTCAACTGGAACCAGCCTCTAAAAGTATGTAAATGCTAATGTAAGTTTATGTTGAAACTTAAATTTTGAATAGTTTCTAATTGAATAACAATAGAATTCTTGGAGATGTTCAAGGGGAAGTACAAGGAAGAAAATGCAATAGAACTATGGAGAGAAAATGTATTTTTTAATCATTGCTCATGAAAGATGACATTAATACAAAATATTTGTTGCATATTAGCACCACAAGGTTCAGCTTTATGCAGGCATAGTGTGTGCCTGTAGTCCCAGCTACTCTGGAAGCTAAGGCAAGAGGATTGCTTGCACCCAGAAGTTTGAGTCTATCCTGGCAACCTAGGTAGATCCCATCTCTCTCTCTCTCTCTCTCTTTTTTTTTTTTTTTTTTTTTTTGAGGCAGGGTCTCACTCTGTTGCCTGGGCTAGATAGCAGTGGTATCTTCATAGCTCACAACAACCTCAAACTTCTGAGCTCCAACGATCCTCCTGCCTCAGCCTCCTGAGCAGCTAGGACTACAGGCACACACTACCATACCCGGATAATTTTTGTATTTTTTGTAGAAACTGGTCTTTACTTTTTTATTTTATTTATTTCTGAGACTTTGTCACCCTGGCTAGAGTGCAGTGACATCATTGTAGCTCACTGCAACCTCAAATTCCTGGGCTCAAGTGGACTACAGGCACGCACCACTGTGCACGGCTAATGTTTATTTTTAGTAGAGACGGGGTCTCACTCTTGCTCAAGCTGGTCTCGAACTCCTGTCCTCAAGCGATCCTGTGGCATTGGCTTCCCAAAGTGCTAGGATTACAGGCAAGAGCTAGAAACTGGTCTTGCTCATGCTCAGGCTGGTCTTGAAATTTTGGCCTCAAGCGATCCTCCCATCTTGACCTACCTAAGTGCTAGTATTGCTGGTATGAGCCACGGGGCCTGGTCTGACCCCATCTCTTAAGAAAAAAGAAAATATGTAAAAAGGGTTAGCCTGTGCGAAGCTGAGGCTTCTGGAAGCGGTCTAAAGGAGAAAGTGATCTCTCTTGTAAGCAATCTTCAAAACTGGCTGCGGTGTAGTCTTCTAAACCTGCATATCTAAAGTACCTGAAATCTAAGCATTTCTGCATTACGTAGCACAATTAAATGATTTTTAAAAATGCCTAAATGTGACCTCTCAACTTTTTTCAGAGAAGATGCGAAAAGAAGGTTTATTTCAATGGCTTCATTCTCTCCAGTTCGATGACATGGCCTCTCCAGACCTGCAGCTCACCGTGGGAGCAGTGATTGTGGAGGAAATGAGAGCAGCCATAGAGAAGCAGACTGGTTTTCAGTGTTCAGCTGGAATCTCACATAATAAGGTAAAGGCCAATAGTAGATTTCAAAGAGAAATATCCATATCTTCAATACACCAAGGATAGTGGGACATTTAAATTATTACACATATACTTTGAAAGGGGTTTCTGCTTAAAATTCATGTTGAGGCACACATAAAATCTTAAGTAATTCTTTAACATGGCAATTGACATTAAATATGTACTTTTCTAAAAGGCTGGATGAAAAATTACAGAAAATGCTTATTTATATAGTTACATTTAAAGTATAGTCAGCCCTCCATATCTGCAAGTTCTACATGTGTGGATTCAACCAACCACAGATTAAAAATATTTGGAGGGAAAAAGCCCAATAAAACAATAATAAGAAATAATACAAATGAATAAACAGTACAGTATAACAGCTATTTACATAGCATTTACATTGCACAGTATTAGGTATTATAAGTAATCGAGAGATGATTTAAAGTATACATGAGGATGTGCATAGATTATATGCAAATGCTACACCATTTTATATAAGGGATTTGAGCAACCCCAGAGTTTGGATTAGGGGTAGGTCCTGGACCCAATCCCCTGTGGATACTGAGGGATGACAGTATTTACTTAATGATTCAACTATCTATAGAAGGAGGCTGCTTGACTAAGGTGAGTAAGTTCCTGAAAAAAAAGAAAAAAGAAAGGAGGCTAGTCTTTGAACTTTTATATATTAACCTATTTCTTTCATTTTCACTTGCTGAATACTTTTGTATTGTTTTCTTATGTGGAGTTGCCTGGTTGTTTTTTGTGTTTGCCTATTCCCCTTTTCTAGTGAGAGCAATGAGAGAAATGGAATAGTAAACTTTTATTAATTTGGACCATTATTTTCATTTAGGGAACAAACAATTCTCAACAATTCAGAAGCAGAATAAATGGCTTTATGATTAATTATGAATAAAGTTCAGTGAGAACCTGGGACCTTCATCTCTTTCTGACAAAGACTCAATGATTAGACACTTCTCCCTTCCCTCCAGTAGGAGGAAAATTGCCAAACTGCCCAGCAAAATTTTTTGTTTTGTTTTCTGATTAGATAGAGGGAGAGGAAACAACAGTCCCAGTGTAATTTAAACCAGATGAAATGTTGCCTAATAGAAGTTTTTATTTTTATTTATTTATTTATTTTTTTTTTTTGAGACAGAGTCTCGCTTTGTTGCCCAGGCTACAGTGAGTGCCGTGGCATCAGCCTAGCTCACAGCAACCTCAAACTCCTGGGCTCAAGCAATCCTCCTGCCTCAGCCTCCCGAGTAGCTGGGACTACAGGCATGCGCCACCATGCCCGGCTTTTTTCTATATATTAGTTGGCCAATTAATTTTTCTATTTATAGTAGAGACGGGTCTCGCTCTTGCTCAGGTTGGTTCGAACTCCTGAACTCAAACGATCCGCCCGGCTCGGCCTCCCAGAGAGCTAGGATTACAGGCGTGAGCCACCGCGCCCGGCCTCTAATAGAAGTTTTTAAAGAATCTCTCTATTCTCAGGTGAGAAGTAAAAAGAATCTCTCTAATGAATTTAAAGAGTGATTTATGTTTTTCCTATCAATTATAATTTGCAAAATGATACCACTGAAGTGCTTTACTCTTTGTAAAGAGTTCTAGAGGCTCGTGCAGTGGCTCATACCTGTAATCCTAGAACTTTGGGAGGCCAAGACAAGAGGATCACTTAGGGCCAGGAGTTCGAGACCAGCCTGGGCAACAAGGAGACCTTGTTTCTACAAAAAAATTAAAAAACAAAACCAAAAAACAACTAGCCAGGCATGATGACACATATCTATAGTCCCAGCTCCTCAGGAGGCTGAGGCAGGAGAATCACTTGAGCCCAGGAGTTTGAGGTTGCTGTGAGCTATGATGATGCCACTGCACAATAGCCCAGGCAACAGAATGAGACATTGTCTCAAAAAAAAAGACTTCTCATGGCCAGATGCGGTGGCGTACGCCTGTAATCCTAGCACTCTGGGAGGCCTAGGCAAGGATGGCTCAAGGTCAGGAGTTTGAAACCAGCCTGAGCAAGAAGAGCCGAGACACTGTCTCTACTAAAAATAGAAAGAAATTAATTGGCTGACTAAAAATATATAGAAAAAATTAGCTGGGCATGGTGGCTCATGCCTGTAGTCCCTGCTACTCGGTAGGTTGAGGGAGAAGGATTGCTTGAGCCCAGGAGTTTGAGGTTGCTGTGAGCTAGGCTGATGCCACAGCACTCTAGCCCCTGCAACAGAGTGAGACTCTGTCTCAAAAAAAGAAAAAAAATGCAGTAAATGGGGTAGGGTAAAGCAAGTTTGTTTCAGCATTATTATATGGACACACTGAAAAATGCATCTTTTTTTTTTTTTTTTTTGAGACAGAGTCTCACTTTGTTGCCCAGGCTAGAGTGAATGCTGTGGCATCAGCCTAGCTCACAGCAACCTCAATCTCCTGGGCTCAAGCAATCCTGCTGCCTCAGCCTCCCGAGTAGCTGGGACTACAGGCATGCGCCACCATGCCCGGCTAAGTTTTTTCTATATTTAGTTGGCCAATGAATTTCTTTCTATTTATAGTAGAGACGGGGTCTTGCTCTTGCTCAGGCTGGTTTCGAACTCCTGACCTCAAGCAATCCGCCCGCCTCGGACTCCCAGAGTGCTAGGATTACAGGCGTGAGCCACCGCCCCCAGCCTGAAAAATGCATCTTACTTGAGTTTCTTCTGCACCTTCCACTTTTTAAACCTCTTGAAGTGGGAGGAGCTCAGGGAATAGACGGTGGAAGAAAATGGCTAAAGGAAAACCAAGAATGGAAGAGATGTGGGAAGAACAATTAGAATAATGATAATGTATCATGTTTTCCACTGAGAATGTTGTGAGACACCAAGTTTTAGAGATGTCTTAAGTTTCTGGTTTTATTTGTATTTTTAATGTTGAAGCCATTATTTATAGCCCTTAAGCTTTGTGTATGTGTTTCAGTATTCACAAACTTGGTGGATTAATAGTATTGAGATTTTTACACTTTCTCTGCTTCCAGGTCCTAGCAAAACTGGCTTGTGGACTAAACAAGCCCAACCGCCAGACCCTGGTCTCACACGGGTCAGTCCCACAGCTGTTTAGCCAAATGCCCATTCGCAAAATGTAAGTATTCAGGAAGCACCTTAAATTTCACTCATTTCCATGTAAAGACACTCTGGTTGTAGTTTCATCTATTCTTTATGAAAGACTGGAGCCAGGAAAAATAGGTACCAGGCAGTTAAAAGGGCAGCAACACAGAACATTTTGTAAAACACATTGAGACTTTTTCTTTTCTTTTTTTCTTCTCTCTTTTTTTAATCACTGCCTGCTATATGATGAGAGTTTTTTCTTAATGAACTTTCAGTTCTGTATTATCTGTGGCAGTTATTGAATCCTGAATTTTAAAATATGAACCAAGTGTTAGCTATATGTTTAACAATCCCTCTAGACTTTTTATTCAAGTCTGTTATTAAATAACAAATAGCAATTTTACTTCTTTTCTTTTCTCTAATTTCAAATCAGGATGTTCAAGGCTGCTGAATTGCTCCCAAAGTAGGCATTAGAGAAGAAGCCAAATCAAATAAATAAGTAGGTTGTGCCTACCAATGTCTGTCTTTCACAAGGGCTTATAATATTGTTTTTCTTTTGTTTTGTTTTGGAGACAGAGTCTTGCTCTGTTGTCCTGGGTAGAGCACAGAGTGCAGTGGCATCATCAAACTCATAGCAACCTCCAACTCCTGGGCTCACGCCTCCCTAGTAGCTAGGATTATAGGTATACACAACCATGCCTAGCTAATTTTTCTATGTTTTGTAGAGATGGGGTCTCGCTATGTTTCTCAGGCTACTCTTGAACTCCTGGGCTCAAGCAGTCCTCCTGTTTCAGCCTCCCAAAGTGCTAGGATTATGGATGTCAGCTACCATGCCCAGCCTAGGTTACATATTAAGTAAAGTTTTAGTCATGGAAGGGAATTTTTTGGGGTTTGGAATTTTACTCCCCAAATGTGACAGTAGGTTTTGTACAATTGAAACTTTTATAAGCCATTGACTTGACAGCTAATTACTATCTTTAACTTTTTGTTTATGTTATAAATCTTCTTCTCAGGTCCTCTCAGAATATTTGAATTCCCAGATAGTCTTAGGCTGAAAAATTTAGAGTCTACATGCTCTCATTTTTCCTGAATCTTTTGGAGAGCTGCTTATAAAAGCAGAATGCCTATGTTTGCTGCCAACTAAATATTTATGATATGATCTATCAGTTCTTTTTCTCCTTTGTTATCAGCCGTAGTCTTGGAGGAAAGCTGGGGGCCTCTGTCATTGAAATCTTAGGGGTAGAATACATGGGTGAACTGACCCAGTTCACTGAATCTCAACTCCAGAGTCATTTTGGGGAGAAGAATGGGTAAGTGATTATATGTTTTCAATCATAACCTTTATGGAGATGTTAGGTTCAAGTATAGACAAAAGCATCTAGTAAAATCCAGACCTATTTTTAGGTTAACATTTGTGTTTTGAGGTAATTTCACTGGTCCTTCTTGCTTTAAAATATTAGATCATTATGGCCTACTATTCTAGAGTAGTTTTTCATGTACCTGGGTGGTTGATAGATAGGAATTGTTATTTTGATGCCTGGGTATATACTACTATGCGTACGTCATTCACACGTGCTAAGATGTTATGTTCACTAAAAATCACTATAATGTGATTATATCACTATAATATGATATAGATGTTTTGTTTTGTTTTCACAGATTAATCATTTACTTCCACCTTAAAGTTCTTTGCTGGTTTTATTAGGTCTTGGCTATATGCCATGTGCCGAGGGATTGAACATGATCCAGTTAAACCCAGGCAACTACCCAAAACCATTGGCTGTAGCAAGAACTTCCCAGGAAAAACAGCTCTGTCTACTCGGGAACAGGTAAGCTGGCATTCTTAACAGAACACTGCCTCTTTTAAAGGGCTTAATGGATAGATTTTGGTAGCAGTGGAAGGTTTAATAGATTAGATGGGACCTTTATAAAGTATGAAGAGAACAGAAGTTCCTTTCTTGTATTTAAAATTAACTAGTTTAGGCCAGGCGCGGTGGCTCACGCCTGTAATCCTAGCTCTCTGGGAGGCCGAGGCGGGTGGATCGTTTGAGCTCAGGAGTTCGAAACCAGCGTGAGCAAGAGCGAGACCCCATCTCTATTATAAATACAAAGAAATTAATTGGCCAACTAATATATATAGAAAAAAATTAGCCGGGCATGGTGGCGCATGCCTGTAGTCCCAGCTACTCGGGAGGCTGAGGCAGTAGTATTGCTTGAGCCCAGGAGATTGAGGTTGCTGTGAGCTAGGCTGACGCCACGGCACTCACTCTAGCCTGGGCAACAAAGTGAGACTCTGTCTCAATAAATAAATAAATAAATAAAAAACATAAAATTGACTAGTTTAACTTGTGATTTATTACTTTTTTTCTTTCTTCCATCTAAAAAGAAATAAAATGGAACTGACTGAAGTTGAAAGTGGAATTTCTTGGTTTTTTAGTAGGTAGAAACTTGGAAAGTGTAGGATATTATGCCTCAAGTTTGGGTCTTTTTTCTCAGAGCTGGAACATGCCTGAAATTCACCTGATGGCATGCCAGCAGGAAAAGAAAATGAAAATCTTGAGGTAGGCAGGACAGAGAACTGAGAAAATTGCTATGATCTGGTGATCGCTTGATTATGGGGGGGAAACTTTGGTGCACAGTTTTGTTTGGGAGAGAACTGAACAAATCCACTGTCTAGTTCTATAATAGACCTAGAGTATTTAAATGAACATCAAAGTATCAATACTTTTTTTAGGTACAATGGTGGCTTTTGCAGTTAGCCCAGGAACTAGAGGAGAGACTGAAAAAAGACCAAAATGATGTAAGATTTTCTTTCTTTATTCCTGGGGTGGGCTTTGGGATTTAAATATCAGTGCTCTTTATGGAGTAGGAGAAACAAAGATAGAAAATGGTATCAACCTAAGAAATTTTTTTTTTATTTCAGCATATTACGGGGGTACAAATGTTTAGGTTACATATATTGCCTTTGGCCCGCCTAGAGAGGGAGCTACAAGCGTGTCCATTCCCCAGATGGTACACACTGCACCCCTTAGGTGCCAGCCTAGGAAATTTTAAGAAATCTTTTATCTTCTTTCAACATAGGCCCATAAAACTCAATATCATCTTTGAAAGCTTGGATTTATGAACATAAGACCTAACTCTACCTGTCTCTCTCATTACCATTTGCCTCTATGTTTTGGATTTTCTTATCTAACTCCTCTTGCAACCCTGGTTATACAGTGGCCCTCCACCATTGAGGACATTGAGAGACTGGACTGTAAAGTATTAGGCTTAATGTTTAGTCCATGTGACAAAGGAATGGCAGCTTAAAATACATTTTATTGTGTATATTTGAAGTTTACAGCATGGTGTTATGGGATACTTACAATAAAGTGGTTACTACAGTAGAGCAAATTAACATATCTGTCATCTCACATAGTTACTTTCTTTTGTGAAAAGAGCAGCTAAAATTGGCTAATAAAAATCCCCAATACAATCATGTTGTACATTAGATCTCTAGTCTTGTTCATCCTACACATTTGGTACTTTTTATCCTTTGACTACATCTTCCTTTGACTACATCCTTTGACTACATTTTCTTCCCCTCACCTAACCCCTGGCAATCTGTTTTATTCTTTATCTCTGTATATTGGACTTTTTTTTTTTAATTTTCTGAGGATTTACTTTTTTTCCTAATGTTATTAGCTTCTCTAGTTTAGAAGTAATGGCAGTTTCAAAGACAAAGTATTAAGTCAAAACATTAGACATCTGATGATTAGTTTCTTTCTCCTCTCCAACAACTTTATTGAGGTACACTTTACATGCCATAAAATTCACCCACTGAAAGCTTACAGTTCTGTAGTTTTAGTGTATTCCAGAGTTGTACAACTATGCTACAATCAATTTTAGAACATTGTTATCACCCCCAAAAGAAATCCTGTACCTGTTAGCAGTCACTCCCCATTTCTCTCCCAACCGCCCCCAGCTGTAGGCACCCACTATTCTGCTTTCTCCTTTTATGTATTTACTATTCTAGACATTTCATGTAAATGGAATCGAATCATATAATATGTAGCCTTTTGTGACTGGCTTGAAACCTTTCACTTAGCATAATGTTTTCAAGGTTCACCCATATTGTAGCATGTATCAGTACTCATTACTTTTTATGACTGAATAATATTTTACTGTATGGATACGACACATTTTGTTTATCCATTCATCAGTAGACATTTGAGTTGTTTCCATTTTTTGGCTATTATGAATATTGCTGCTATGAACATTCATGTACAAGTTTTTGTGTAGACATATGTTTTCATTTCTCTTCAGTATATACCTAAGAGTATGACTGCTGGGTCAAATGGTAACTATGTTTGGCATTTTGAGGAACTGCCAGACTGTTTTCCACAATGGCTGCACCATTGTACATCCCTATCATCAGTGTAAGAGTTCTATTTTTTTCACATCCTTGTTACTGTCTTTTTTAGTTTTAGCCATTCTAGTGGGTGTGAAGCAGTATTTTTATGGTTTGATTTACCTTTTCTGAAAGCTAATCATCTTTTTAGGTGTGTATTGGCCATTTTTTTTTATCTTCTTTGGATAAATGTTTGTTGAGACCCTTTTTGTTTTTTAGAGTTGGGTTGTCTCTTTATTATTGAGTTTTTAAGCGTTCTTTATATAATCTGAACACAAGTCCCTTATCAGATAAATGATTTGGAAATATTTTCTTCCATTCTATGGGTTTTCTTTTCACTTTCCTAATAGTGTTATTTGACGCATCCTCTCCTTTTGAAACATCTTGGCATTCTGCACATCAACTGTATACTGTCAAGAATAGTCCAGTACTACTCGTTTGCCCCTTTTTAGCTGGAATTGGTGGTGAATATTTATTCCTTTGGTTGGCAGGCAACACAGGGATTTTTACCCCAGTTGTGTTATCAGCCTATCCAACTTTGCCCACTAGGTGGCGCCTGGTTCCCATCTCTCTGTAAGCCCCTGGACTTTTCCTCCCACCTTATATCCAGTGCAACATAGTGGGGATCCCTGAAAATTAATCTTGTCCTTAAGCTTCAAGGGGCTTTATGGCCAAAAAGAATTTGGGACATAGCAGATCCTGTCACTTCATTGTTTAAAACATTCCAGTTAGTGCCTTCCCTTCACATTTAAAGCTTTCCTTCCTTTTTTTAATTCTATAAAGCTAAATATGATCATGGTCTCTGGCTACTTCTCTGACCTTATCTCCTATCTTCTCCCCCACTTATTCTACTCTAGTCTCTACTCCATTGGCCTCATTCCCTTTTATTTCACACACCCAGGAAGCTGTCACCTTAGCACCCTTGCACTTGGTGTTCCTTTGCCCTGGAGACTCTTCGCTTATATATTCTTAAAATTGGCTTCCTCACTTTATTCAAATCTCACCTTCTCCAGGAGGCCTTCCCCAGTTAGCCTATCACATCAGCAGCTTTCGTCACTGTTAGCCTTATTCTTTTATTCATAGCACTCATCTGTGTAGTCATTTCTATTACATACCTACCTACTTATTAGCTCTAGCTCCTACTACAACATAAGATCCCTGAGGGCCTGGACTTTATGTTGTTCTCTCTTGCATCTAGACATACATCATAGGCAGTTATAGCTGAATGATTTTAGTCAACAAAGACTCCTTCATAATTGCCAATTTTTATTCTTCTAAGGTAAATCAATCTGCACAACTGTATTTTTACCCCCAAAATAATTCCTGCTCTCAGCTCATTTGCCTTAGGGTATTTCTTCTCACTAACATCTTTTGATTTTTGAGGGGTCCCTATGCCTTGACCCTTATTTCTCAGTTTGCTGAGCAACAACACCACTCAGATGCTTAGACTTCACTGAAGTGAGTCAGTGATCTTGCTTTCTAGAGGCAGCCTCACTATACTGTGTCTTCTCTAGTTGGGCTGTAAGAAGTGTCAGAGCATCAGGGCAGAAAAAAGACTGGATTGACGACCACGCAATTTTGACATCTTTGCTTTCAGACAATTACTTGCCTGAATCCTTCCTTCATTCACAAAACAGAATATAGTATTATAGGTATTTGTTATAATCTTTCTGCTTAGACACCGTGAAAAACATTCAAGGGAGCTCCATTTTCATTTATTTTGTTCCCATCACCTGTCAAAATATGTTAGATATTCTAATATCCCATCATCCAAATTATGTCTTCTCTGATTACTTTTTACACCCAGAAATAACAGACTTTTTGTGGAACCCTGTAATCAGATTTTTATTCAGCAAATGTGATTCTGCAGTGTAGCATACTATTAGCATCCTTCATAGTACCTTATCCAGTGTCCTGTGCATGATAGGTACTCAGTATACATTTGTAGCTTATAGGAATAGATGCTGGAATAAACTGCTTCATTGTTTGCTTACTGACACTATATTCTTGAATTTTAAGCTTAGTGTTTCCAAACCATTCTGTCACCCTGGTTCTTTTAATTTCCTCTGATACATTTCCATATACAGAATTCAGATGCTCCTGGAACTTTATTTCTGGTCTCAATCTTTTTGCACTTACAGAATGACAGGGTGGCTACTCAGTTGGCTGTGGGTATTCGTGTGCAAGGAGACAAACGTCTCAGCAGCTTACGCCGCTGCTGTGCCCTTACCCGATATGATGCTAACAAGATGAGCCACGATGCATTTGCTGTTATCAAGAACTGTAATACTTCTGGAATCCAAACTGAATGGTGAGTTTGTTTCTAGCTCATCTTCTTAGAAAAGACTTATGCGCTGTCTTAGCTCTAAAATTAGTGGGTATCCAAGCTATTCCAGCAGGGTTAGGCACTTTGTCACTCAGACTAGCAGCACCTGTTACAGAGGGGAATGGTTATGCACTAAGGGAGAAAACACAGCAGCAATCTCAGGGACAAGGCAGCCCAGCTACAGCTTCTTTGCATACATTTGATACATTACAGTTCCCAAGGGTGGGTTAGAAGGCAAAGTGAACCAATACTGTCCCTGCCTGTATCAGCTTGCTTTAATCAGGGAAATGACCAGTTGCACTTGGAGAACAGAGCTCAGGTTTCAAGAATGCATTTCGGGCCAGGCGCTGTGGTTCATGCCTGTAATCCTAGCACTCTGGGAAGCTGAGAAGGGTGAATTGCTCAAGGTCAGGAGTTCGAAGCCAGCCTGAGCAAGAGCAAGACCCCGTCTCTACTAAAAATAGAAAGAAATTAATTGGACAACTAAAAATATATATAGAAAAATTAGCCGGGCATGGTGCTGCATTGCATGCCTGTAGTCCCAGCTGCTTAGAAGGCTGAGACAGGAGGATCACTTGAGCCCAGGAGTTTGAGGTTGCTGTGAGGTTGCTAACCCTAACCCTAACCCTAACCCTAACCCTAACCCTAACCCACCACGGCACTCTAGCCTGGGCAACAGAGTAAGACTCTGTCTCAAAATAAAATAAAATAAAATAATGCATTTGGGTACTTCTCTTTCAAGTACTTGACTGTTCTATCTTAAAAGCATCTTTCTTGATTACAAAAGTGATCTATATTCATTGATAATTTCTATCTAACATCCCAACTCAGTTACAAGTCCCACTGGTATTATACCAAATGTCATATTCATTAACAAACTTCACTTCTGTTGGTCATGAAATATAAGCCTCTTTTTGTTGGAAGATGTTCATTTTCTGTTCAGATATTAATGATTTCCTGGATTGGAATCTTTTAATTACTTATTTAACAGTAATTCCAAATTCACAGTGGAAATATAATTATGAGAGAAAGATAAATGGGTTGCACACTTATAGATGTATATTGAAGATTTTAAAAAATCAAAATTTAATCACCTAAGTTATTGCTTATCTAAATATATTGGCACTATTATATGTACAGACCTATAACATCATTTCTTGATAATATTTATTTTCAGATATTGAACAGTTATATAGAACCAAATGACAGTTGCGATCCTATGTTCATATGAAAACTTATAAATTGTCACTATAACAAATACTACTCACCAATATGTGACATTTATTGATAGGGAAGCATCAAAAATATCTAATTATAAGAATGTTCCAAAGCATGAAACCTGAGGATAGTGGGATACTTTCATAATTACTTAAAAATAGCATTTACCCTTACCTCATTGAAAAACCTATATTTAAAAGCATGTTTCATCTTCTGAAATTCAGCTTGTGAAAATTTGGGTGATTAGACATAATGAGGAACTTTGTGACAGGAATTTCTACAAATGTACTGGGATTGGTAACCAAAAGCAGTTGTGGAATTTCATTCTCCAGAAATTCCAGAATGGAAAGTCTGTCAGGGTTAGGGTTAGGTAGTACCCGTTTTTAAAAACAAGAGAATAGCTAAGAGGGCTTTTTCAAGTCTTTCCCATCTAAATGTTCTAAAGCTTTTCTGTTGCTCTGAATAAAATTTCTTGCCCTAACCCTGAATTAAAACAGCTCTGCAGTGGTATCTTATAAAAACACTAGCCGTCAGGAGGTGGGAGGTTGTCAAGTCAGTGGTTCTCAAGATGCAACATCAATTGTTAGAAACTCAAATTCTCTGTTCATCCCAGGTCTACTAATTTGATACATGTTAAACTTTGAGACCACTGTAGTAAGGAATGATTTCTTCTTGTGGCAGAATCAGAACCCTAGTCATTTATTAATTGAATCTTTGCTAAGCTCTGAAATAGTGACCTATTGTTAATCTTGTTCTTTTACTTTCTATACAGGTCCCCTCCCCTCACAATGCTTTTCCTCTGTGCTACCAAATTCTCTGCCTCTGCCCCTTCATCTTGCACAGATATCACCATCTTCTTGAGCAGTGACCCATGTTCTCTGCCAAAGGTGCCAGTTACCATTTCAGAAGCTAACACCCAGGGAAGTGACCCAGGCCTGACAACAACAAAGAAAGCAACCACCTCTCTGGAATCATTCTTCCAAAAAGCTGCAGGAAAACAGAAAGTCAAAGAAGCTTCGCTTTCATCTTTTACTGTTACCACTCAGGCCCCCACGAGCAATTCACCATCTAAGTCATTACCTTTCCAAACCAGTCAAACTACAGGAACGGAGCCCTTCTTTAAGCAGAAAAGTCTGCTTCTAAAACAGAAGAAGCTCAATAATTCTTCAGTTCCTTTCCCTCCACAAAATCCACAGTCCAACTCTAAGGGGTTACCAAATCATTTTCCAACAGAGTATCCAGATTGTGCCCCTGTTTGTGAAGGGACATTGAAGCTAGAATCCTGTAAAGCAACTCTTGCAGAGACGGATTTGACCCAGAACAGCCCAAGCATACTTGCTTTTTCAGCATCCACATCTGCTCCAGGGGTGGCTCAGAAGGCAGCTACCACCCCAAGTTGTGTAGCCGCTGAGGACCAAGTGCCCTGTGAGAAATGTGGCTCCCTGATACCAGTGTGGGACATGCCAGAACACATGGACTATCATTTTGCAGTGGAGTTGCAGAAATCCTTTCTGGAGCCCTCAAACCCCCAAGTTGTTTCTGCCTTGTCTCCTCAAGGCAAAAGAAATCCCAAGAGCCCTTTGGCCTCTAGTAATAAACGGCCTAGGCCTGAGGGCATGCAGACATTGGAATCATTTTTTAAGCCATTAACACATTAGTGCTGCCCTTAGGCTTGCTGTAGGATTTTAATATTTTATCTGTAACCTGGGAGATGGAAATATATTCCCTTCTCAGGGAAATCCATAATTTTATGAAAATTTTAACACAAAAAATAATCCAGTTAGGTGCCAGATTAAGGTTCCCATCTCGTCACAGGCATAGATTCTAATCCCATTGCTGACAGAGATGTAAAAATTCATCTTCTCATTGAGTTTTTAATCTTTAGAGTTTAGGGAGGCAATGTCGTACTATAAAAAGTATGTGGGCCTTGAAGCCTAAGAGACTGGTTCGAAACCTAGCTCTGCCTCTTACTGCAGTGATGGCTTTGAGCAAGTCACTTTCTTTACTTCCTCATCTGTAAAACTGAGATAATACCTTATAGATTATTTTAATCTTCAACTTAAAATTGGCACAGAACATGAACTAAGTAAAAAACAAAAAGTTTTAAATAATGCCTTGACCAGAATTCCATATTTTCTGCTGAGGAATGTGAGGTGAAGAATCCCTAAAAGTGCTATAGTAACTACAGTAGGGCAGGTTCTGTACATAAAAGCTAGTCAATAAATGCTGAATCTCATACCCTATTATAGCCTCAGTTCTAGCCACTGGTTAGCCATTCTATCTCTGCATTTTGTTCTAATGTAGAATGAGATTGCCACTGGCTAGTTCAGGAACTGTTTAGATTCTATAAGTCATAATCAAAACTAGATCATCTCTAGAACCTTGCTACTCTTGAGTGATTTGAGGAACAGCAGCATCGTGATCACCTAGGAACTTGTTAGCAATAGTCTTAGCCTCACCACTACTACTGCATATTAACGAGACTCCCCAGTGTATATCTCCTAAAGTCTGAGAAATACTGATCTAGAAGATGCCAACAGCCAGGTTTGTAGAGAACAATAACATTTCCTTAAACTCTAAAGTATAAATTTAAGAGGTGAGTGCTTGGACCTTTGTGGTTACTGCCATGTTCATCTCTTCCTTATTGAAGTATGAATGTTTAGCTTAGGGTTTTAAATTGATTATTGTAGCTTTTTGCACTTATCCATGTTTATAGTACTGTATTTTTAACCTCCGTTCTTATGTGTGAGAAGTCAGTTTTTTTGGCTTGAATTACACAGGGAACTCAACTGAAGATGAACTGAGTTGGTGGTGGTGGTAGATAGAATAGTGTACATCTCCCTCCTTCCATACATATACACAAACCAACTTTTTTATACATACAAAAACCAACTTTTAGCTTATTTATAAATGGGGGGAAGAGTCTGTATTTAATTTGAAGAACAGAAGGTTTGAAAACCATTGGATCCAGCAGGAAATTATTTTTTCCTCCAAAAATATTTTCTACTTTTATGGTACTTGAATATCCAATAAAAGACAGTATTCACTGTGTACATGGCCTTTTTCCTACTAGATTTGTAGCTTCTTAAAGGCAAGAATTCTTCACAGTGCCTTACAAATAATAGGTGCTTGATATTCACTGGGTGAATGTATAATGAAAAACTTTAGATCTGATTACCAAAACTGGGACAATAAGAATGTATTGTCCAGGCACAGTGGCTCACTCCTATAATCCAGCACTTTGGGAGGGTGAGGTGGGAAGATTGCTTGAGGTCAGTCCAAGACCAGCCCAGGCAACATTGCAAGACCCCATCTATAGGAAAAATAGCCGAGCATGGTAGTGTGCGCCTGTAGTCCCAGCTACTCAGGATGGCTTGAGTTCAGGATTTTGAGATTGCAGTGAGCTATGATGATGCCACTGCACTCCATCCAGCAAAGTAAAACTCCTTGGCAACCTGCCTCATACAGTTTTATCCTCCTAAATGTTCCATTAATGTAAGCAAAGTGGCTCAGTAATTCCTGGAGATGTCTAATTAAATGCTGGGATGTGATTTCCCAAAATTTCCTTTCTTAGTCCAGGGTAAGTTAACAAACTGGATGAAGCTATACAGATCAAGTTGAATAAATTTTTAACAGTTGGGTTGACTGGCATAAAGGAGTCATACAGAAAAAATAATGTGGTAGAAACTTAGGTTTCATTGGACTTCTAGAGGCCCTAACTGGTAGAGTTTGGGGGTGGGGTGGCAGGAGTAGTGGATGGCCAATACAGTATCAGCCACATACCTTCTGTTTTCTTGGGAATACCAGCCCCACCCCAGCATACTGGCAATGAGTCTGTGGAGGTGACAGCAGACAGACATGCAAAGGTCAGTGCTTGGTGAAAGCTATAGTATCTTTTTGCTGAATATAACCTTTTCTTCCTCACAGCTATTTATCAGCAACTATACAGAAGTAAAACAGCTCTTAGCTCCTAATACAGCAGGAAGTTCTTCAACCACAGGCTTCTTAGTAGCAAGTCAAACCAGTATGTTTTAAAAAGCTGGGCCTGAGTGGTAGGGAAGCTATCTCTTTAATACTCTAGAGGCAGAGTGCCACATAGGACCTCAGGCCACATTTATCACATTTCTTTTGCCAGAGGCTTGTTCAAAATGTAGTCCCTGTGTTTTGCTGTTGACTATCCTTGGGCCCTGTTTCTCTGTCTATAAGATTTGTTGACGAGGAGTCTGAATGGGGAAATGGCAAGAGGAACTAAGGTTTGGCCAGGTGGCCCTCATGGTTCCAAAAATCTAATTTAGATTATATAAACCTGAAGTTTGAGGACCAGATTACCCTTTGTCTCTAAATTCTCTAAATCTCTGACAGGGCACAGAAGTGGGCTCCTTATCATTGTGACACTAGCAAGTGACCAACTCCTCAAATACAGGGTAGCTACTTATTTCAGCTGAAAAGGCCTCTGTTTCACTTTGTACTCTGCTCACTCAAAGAATTTACAGGCAGAATACTTTGTTACAATATTGGAACATTGATCCTGTGAGAGGAAGAGGAAAAGAAAAATGGCGGATGAGATACCAGATGGGTTCTTTCTATGTTCAGGGCTCAGCAATGTTGGGGTTTCTTATCTCTGATCTTGGAGAGGCACCTAGCCCTGGAAGGAAGCTGAGCCTGTGTCTTAAGCATAAGCACAGTGTATTCAATAAAACATTTTTATTCTGTACAATATATATGTGTATTTAAATATATATATACATATATATATATGCAGAGAAACCTCAACCAACAAATCCCTGAGTCCATGGGAACCCAGGACACTAACAAAGGGAAAGGAGGGAGTCCATGCCTAAAGAGTAGGAAATATGGCAACATCTTTCCCTTTCCTCCTGGTTCCCTGCAACAGAGGGAAGGGATGGTCACTACAAATTACTGAAACAAGAGAGGGCTTAGGTTGGAGCAGGAAGGCGGGTGAGAGTCGAGAATGGGGAACTGTGGTTCTGGGAAAGTAAAACGTACTATTTGATCCAGCATGAAAGCCAACAGATGACTGCAGAGGAGAGGACAAGACTGATTGACATGCAGCTGACCTTTGGTATGCCAAGCCATAGCCTGGCAGCCCCACGCCTGGCCAGCACAATAAATAGCACCTGTGGGGCCTGTGAGAGGAGGAACTGGGAAAATGGCCCTTGAGTAAAGAAGGGAAGGGAGATAAAGCTGAGGAAGAGGCCTCAGGCCTCAGCACAGGGTGGGAGCACTGCCATCACTGTCCCTGTGCCATTTCTTCATACCCTGGGCCACCACATGTCCAGGAGCAGATATCTTTTGTCCATAGTCAGGTAGAGATGGGCAATTACATGGCCTTGAGAAGAGGTATAGAAAAAGGAGTGCTTTTGAGGGCCACCCCCAGTGGTGACGATTCCTGAAGTGCAGGGACCACACCAACAAAATATGCCCAGTCCTGATAGCGGAGCCGAGGAATTGACAGTGGATGCAGTCAGCTCCAGTAGACAGGCCACAGGGTTGCCAGGGTTGATGAGCCAACCAGGTGGGCACATAGCTTCTCAGCACTGCCCTGAATTCTGTCTTCTCCCTCAGGACTGCCCCTCCCTGGCCACACCAAGCTTGGCACCTCTCCAGAAAGGCGGCAGGGAGCAAGTGGCAGACAGCACCCCTCTCTCCTTAGCCTACTAACACACAGAGCCGCCAGTGGGGTGGGGGCAGCATGGCCGGAAGTCACCTTATATATTGTAGGGACAGCAACAGAGCTGTCCAAGCCTGGAGGACTCAGAAACCCATGTTAGCTTGGGCCTCTCCTGCTGTAATGGCTTGCACATCAGTGACATGGCCGATGCCCTTGGTGACACCCTCCCGGAACAGCAGTTTGGCGCCCACCTTCAGGTACTCTGGGTGTTTCAAGAAGCGGAAACGTACCACTGCCTTCTCCCCTGTCCGCAGCTTGTCCTGCAGCAGATAAGTGGTCATTGCCCTGGCCAGTGCCTCCCAACCCATTTTCTACCAGCCTTGGCTCTCCACCCTCCAGGCTGCTACCCACCCTAAGTGGGGCTTTGTTCCCATTGTGGGATCAGGGAATTCTCCCCAAGTCTGGGGCCAGGCCAGGGTCTCTCTCTCACCTTGGCATGGATCTTCTCCACCACTGCTGTCTGACGTACGTTGCCCACGTGTACAGTCACCTGGAATCCTCGTCGGAAGGTGGTGGCATGGAATAGTAGGACTATTTCTGCCTCGAACACTGAGCAGATGGTAGGATTCATCTCGGGGCTCACCATCACCATGCCCTGGGGAGGCACAGCCCCGAGGCCCAGGAAGGACAGGCCTAGCATTAGATTCTCCCCCCCCAGCCACGCCCATGCCCTCTTAGAGCTCCTGAATTCCCTCTTCCTTCCTTTACATGACTCCAAACACAAAGGATTCCAAACACAAAGACTGCAGAAGATCCCTCTCTTAAAGGGAACCCTTCTTTACCCACCTCCCATGTCCTCTCACCTTTCTAATGCTTTGTATTTTTAAGAGTCCTGGACACTCATGTTGCTCTATAGTGTTTCATATCTAGTGATCTGTGCCTCATGATTATTCTAAACCATTTTTATACACAGTCTGTGTAACTAGACTATCAGCTTCTTGGTTTCCTTTGAGTTTCTCTGAAGCACCTTAGATGGGTGCTGTTCATTCAGTAGCCAGTCTGCTAAGGCACAGCTCTGTGTGTTCCCTCTCCAACCCACCTACCCACCCACCTCACCTTGCGAAGCAGAGCACGGTCAAAGTCCCCAAGGGCCAATGTAGCAGCCTGACCAGCTCGCAGCACACGACAGGCAGAGCGGTTGCGCTGGATGCTGCACACTCTCAGCTCCAGGAAGCAGCCATCGTCCGTGGGGCCCACCACCAGCTGGTCCCCCTCACGGCAAATCCCACTGCAGCCCAGAGGGCAGGTGGCACAGTATCAGCCTAGGTCCCTCTACCTACTACTCTGCTGGGGTCACCCATTGCATTCCTTCCCTTCTGGGACTGAGTCCCTCAAGTGGGGAAAAGGAACCCTAAATTCAGACTTGTATGGGGATGGCTGCCCTAGTTCAGAGTCAGAAGGCTAATACCAGAAAAGGCCAGTGGTGATGGCTGGCAGAAAGGCACCCACTGGTTTGACAACACTGAACACCTGATCCCTGAAGGGCCAGCTTTATCCCCTTGGGTTTCAGCCCCTGCTTTGGAAAGAGTCTTAAGTAACCTCTCATTTCCCTACTTTGAGATAAAGTCAGTTGAATACACTCTGGTTTCTTCCAGAGTGGACTCAACACCCACACTTGTCCCTCAGGGGCCTGGAGATTCCCGGCAAGCAGCAATACTGTTTCTTTCCTCAAAAGCCAACAGACTAGCCTCCTCCAGCCTTTCTTTTCTTTTTTCTTTTTCAACAGAGTATCACTCTGTTGCCCGGGCTAGAGTGCCATGTAGTCGGCCTAGCACACAGCAACCTCAAACTCCTGGGCTCAAGCAATCCTTCCTCCTCGGCCTCCCGGAGTGCTAGGATTACAGGCATGAGCCACTGCACATGGCCTCTCCAGCTCTTTTGATAGTGAAAGCCTAGTCTGCAAAGAAGCACATCCTTTATATGGGCTCTGTTCAACTCCAGGGTCTCCTTCTTTGGGCCAGATGTCTCTGAGTGTACGGGTGAGGGCTGAGTGGAGTGGGTAGCAAGCAAGGCAATTCACCTGGAAAGTGTCCCTCCAACAACAGTCCCCACCTCTGGTACTGTATAGATTTCATCCACCTAAAGCCAAAGAAAGCTCTATCAAAGGCCTGCCAAGTAGGGCTGGCAGGTCCAAAGTCTCTAAACAGACTCTAGGCTCAGGCAGAATCAGCCCCTTCCTGGTTCCCCAGCCTACTGGCTGTTTGGGTGGCCAACTACCTGGAACTCCGTCAGCTGCTGCATGAGTTCTTCCTGCTCTTTGCTGTTGGTGAGTGGTGGCAGGATATTCAGAAAGACTTTGAGAAGGTCCAGACTCTCTCCAGACACACTGGACAGTGTGAAGATGGGGGTGACACTGTAGAGGGAGGCATGGAGTGGACAGATGAGGAAAGTCCTAACAGGAGGCAGAGGCCAGGACCTCATAGGTGAGCTTTGCTCTGGGCAGCTGGGGGCCTCTCTCTCCTACCTGCTAATGGTTCGGGAACACTGGGCCCTCTGTAAGCCCTGCCAAGGAACATGGCACATGAAGCCCACCCCAAAGCTCAAGGGAGACAGCAAATGCCCATGTAGCACTTCATCCCCAGGTCCCAGGCATCAGCAAAGCTCCAGGTTGGCTCAGGGGAAGGGTCAAACCCTTCAGCAAAGATTCCCTGCCATAATCCCAAGCTGAAAAACCCACAGAACTGAGCCAGAACTGGTCTGGCTCTGGTAGATGGGACACCACACTCTTGGGCCCTGGGCCCTGTGGCAGCCTTCCTAGTGGATCAGGGTTTTAGGGTGAGGCAGGCTTACTTGGGTGACTGGGCAAACTGCTGGGCAGCAGTGACAGCATCATCCTCAGAGGTGACCAGCATGGGGACCTTGTGGCAGCCAGGCTGCTTGAGGACCCGCTCCAGCTGGCGTACTGTCCTCTCTACTGTTGTCTTGGCACACAGGTCCACCTTGCTGACCACGATGAAAAAGGGCACTTTCAGGGCCAAGGCCAGCCCCAGATGTTCCCTTGTGGTGCCAGCTGCCTCAGAGAAGGCAGGCAGGTAGCAGGAGAAAAGTGTGAGAAGGCAGAAGGGAGAGGAGGGAAGAACAGGGTTAGTCTGGCTCCCAGGTTTCAGGAGACCCAGGGAAGCAGAGAGTCAACACCCCCCTTCAGCCCTGTCTCTGCCCCAATGCCTCATACCAATCCCAGTGTTGGCACTGACGAGGAGCAGGGCACAGTCAGGGCAGTATGAGGTGAGGCCAAAGATGGTAGTGTGTAGGTACTTGTGGTGGCCTGCCAGGTCGATGAAGGTGATCATCTTGGAGCTGCTCTCACAGATCTCTTCTGCTGTCCGTGAGTCGCTGTAATTCACCACCTGGCCCAGAGCCCAGGGCTCTCAGTGCCCCCTGCCAACCTCCCCAACCCTTTAAGAGTCGCCAGGACCTAAACCAGTCCCTGGGTGACCCTGACTCTTAACCCTGAGCCCCGTTTTTTATTTAATTCAGTTGATTCCCCATTTGTTTTTAAGAGGGACAGAGCTTGTTCATAGTCCCCTCAGGGCCTCCATCTATACTATTCCAAAGAGTGTCCACACTCTGCCCCCATCCTGTGTCCTTCACCACTACTATCCCATCCTCAGAGTCTGGCCCCACTGGGTCCCGTTGATCCCATGCACCTCTCCCTTGCTGTTAAAGCCCAGGATCTCGAAGCTGATGCTGGATGTTCGGCCAGACTGAATCTCATGCAGGTGGCGGAAAAGGTTGAGCCGAGCCCGGCCCCGCCCATTGTCCAGCTCTCCCTGGGTCAGGACTCCAAGCAGAGTTGACTTCCCTGAGTCCACATTCCCCAGGACGGCCACACGGAGGTCTAGGAACTGTGGATGAATTGCTAGAGGTAAGGGCTCCAATCTCTCACCTCTCTATTGAAGACTGGGTCAAGGGCAGTGAGGCGCTTTAGGGAGCAAGTGATGAGCTGAAGAAGCCCCCAGGATCCTGGGCCAGTGACAGCAAACCACCACAGGGCCCACCCAAGGGGTGTGGACATGACGGGGAAGGAAGGGTGTGAGTTCACCTGTTGGTTGTCAGGGACCTTTCGTACTAGCACCTCAGTGATCTTCCGGGGCGTGTCACTATCATAATCCACTTCTCGCTCTCGGAGAACGGTGATATCTGCTCCAACCCTGTCATGGCAAGGCCACAGCTGCCATATCCCACCTGTACTCCCCTATTCCAGCCTGGCTCTGGACCAATGGCCGTTCTCTTCCTGCAGAGCTCCCAACACCTTACTGCACTTCCCACCACCCTCCAATCTATCCCTCATCCACAGCTCCCTTTAAAACACACACACACACACACACACACACATCTTAAGGAGCAAAAAAGCCCAGGTCCAATGAGGGGACCAGAACATAAGCCCTCCCACTTCAGGGCTTTGTCAAGAGAAGGCAGCAGAAGGAAAGTCCCACCTTGGCCCCTTAGGCCCTAGGTGACTGGGTCTGCATGGGCCTCCTGAGTGAGGTAAGAGAGAATCTCGGGGAAGGGGAAGGGGAAACATACTTCTCTGCCATTCGGTGCAGGGTCTTGAGGGAGGCCCGCATCTCCTCCTCAGCCAGCCCCACCAGCAGCCCATTGTCCTCTACCCCAATCTGGTAGACAGCCTCACCGCGTCCCTCCTGGAGCCGCCACTTCATTTGTGTCACCAAGTGCTCAAAGCGGTACTGGGATGGATTCACCAGCTTCAGCTTACGGGAGGTGGAGTATCACAAGGTGAAATTAGAGGTGTTCCTCCCAAATCCACATGGGCCCCACCTGTTCTGCTGCAAAGACCAGAGCCATCCCTCCCCACTTAAACCCTTCATCCCTAAGCCCCCTAAAAGTGAATCCCCCTTCAACAAAATAAGGTATAGAGCCCTTACCCTGAACCACAGCTCTAAATTGCTACAGATATGAAAATGGAAGGATCTCAGAGAAATCACCCCATGCTGGCAAGGACAACCTACCCCATTCCCTGCTCCTTCCCACCCTAATACTCACTTGCCCCTTCTCACCCTAAGACTCACTTTATATTCGATGTTTCCATCTTCAGCCTGAAAAGAAACAGGGGACAGTTACCACAGTGTGCGGACCCAATCCCTACTTCCCCTCGATTCTCACTGGGGCCCAGGCAGCTAACTTAAGAGAGCAGGAAGCCCCAGTGGCACCTGCTTAGGCAAGTGGCTACCAAAGGTCAATGGCAGACAAGCCCCTCTACTCAGCCCCAATGTGGCCTCTCTAAAGGCAAGTCCTATAACGACACAGGCAGTCACCCATTTAAGCCAAGAACAGAACCCAGAGTCCCTCCTTTCTTTGCTCGGGCACAGCACATTCTTCCTAGATGCAAGATCACCCCTTCCTTCCCTCGGGCCTCAAACTGCTGTTCCCAGAAGTCTATGTCTCCTCTGTGTCCAGGCTGTTGAGGCCTTTCTTTGCCACTGGTCTGGGAGACACCACCTCCTTCCTGCCTACCCCTCTCAGCTGATGTCACCAAGAGTAAGAGGCTGCAAGAGGTTCTGGACCAGGGCCAAAGGGTGAGCTCAGCACTGGTCACTACAAGTCTGATGACAGAGGAGCCCTAGGTGAGAGAACAGCAGAGCTCCAAAGCTGGGGCTGATATGAACAGCAGAAACTTGGAAAATGGAATGAAGGAGACAGACTCCATAAACCAGACTCACTATGGCCTTTACCTTCTGTCTCCTAACCTTCATGCCTCAGTTGAGGTGAAATCCTGAGTCCACCCCACAATCTATTCTACCTCCTCCAGGTGGTAGTACAGCATAGAAATACTCTGTTGCCTGAGCTTCCCTTCTTGGGTGCAAAGGGATATGGGATTTGCCTGTTCTGCCATTCTGCCCTCCTCTCTGGCCATTTTATTTCTCCTCTTCCCTTCCTGTCATCATTCCATCCCTTTAAGGCCCTCTGGTTTCCAGGCCCTAACAGGTCTTTACCCATAATCTCCACCTCACTGTGTGTAAGGGAGATCTTTTCCTATCAACAAACAACTTCCAGCAACCTTTTTATCATTCTGCTGAGGATGGGGAGTTACGATGGTTGGCTTCAGAAATGTGGTATGAGGATGACAGTTTAGGGCAATGGTTCTCAAAGGATGGTCCCAGGACCAGCAGCATTAGCATCACATGGGAACTCATAAGAAATGCAAATTCTCAGGCTCACCCCTCTCTTACTGTATCACAAATTCTAAGGGTAGGGCTGGCAATCCAGGTAATTCTGATACATGCTAAAGTTTGATAACCAACGGTTTAAGCTCTTCCCCTAGGTCCTCCTTTCCTAAGAGAGACAAAGTAGCAGTCATTCTCTGCCTTAAGGATAGACAGAACAGGTACGTGGAAGCTCTTCTTCACACACCTGTTCTTGCCGCTCAAAAGAAAGGCAAAGGGACAGAGGACTAAGCCTCACTGTTCTCTGGGGGTGTGTGTGCTCGAACCGAGGGACAAGGAGGGTACATATTGCTCTTTTCCCGGGTACTCCCCTCCTCCCTGTGGAACAAGTTTAGAAAAATTGGTGGTTACTCTGCCTGCCTCCTCATCCGAGGATGCAGTCTCTCTTCTCCTGTAGCAGCACAGGCAGGGGTCCGGGTGTTCTACTCTGCTTTTCCCAAGGGTATGGGATCCCCTTTCCCCACTTCCCTTCCTGGGGTAATCTAGATCAGAAGACGGGTCCTCCCTCTCCACGCTTCCTCCCTGACGTCCTGACACCAGAGGGGAGGTCCAGTCTCTCAGCCCCTTCTCCCAGGGTGGCCCGGGACCGGAAGAAGGGGTTCACCTCCCGCGCCCCTCCTCCCTGGGGTCTTGACACCGGAAGGGGGGATTAATTCTGTCTGTCCCGCCTCCCCGGAGTCCCAGGACCGGAAGGAATGGTTTCTTCTTGCCCCGCCACTTCTCAGGTGCTCACCTCGGGGGGCAGGTACGGGGGATTGTTGGCTTTGCCCCCTCTGTTCCTTCCGTTCTTCTTCTTCCCCTTCGGGCCCCCGCAGCCACTGCTGCCGCCGGCCCCCCTAGCCTTAAGGGTACCGCCTACGGCCGGGCCCCCTCCGGGCCGGCAGCAGCCGCCGAACAGCTCCGATACCCGCGAGTCCATCCGCCGCTGCCGCCAGCCCCCCGCCCGACCCCTCCCCCCCGCCACCGCTGCCGCCTCCGCCGCCGCCCCTGCTGCCACTGCTGCGTCGGGCCAGCCGGAGGAGAGCGGGGTGGGGCCCTACGCAAGCCACGCCCCCACCGCCCCTGGCCTCCGGGTCGCGTCAGAAACAGCCGCGGGGCACCACGGGATATAGAGTCCTCAAGCCTGAGACCTTGCTCGAAAGAGCTGGTCGCCGCCCTACAACTCCCAGGAGGCATCGCGGCGCGAGAGGCCGCGGCTGTCTTCGGGGGCGTAGGCAGGGAGCGCGCAAAGGCCTGAGGGAGCTGTAGTCTGCTTGCCAGTCCCCGCGCTCTGAGCGGGTCTTTTTCTGGGGCCTGGGAGGGAAGGGTAGAGTCCCGCGGCTTGCGGTGGGAATGGTCCCGGTGGCGAAGGGCTTACTTCAGAATCGATTTTTGTGGACGCTCCTGAGTTTGGCACCTTAACGCGGATCCTAGACAACAGGTTTTGGACCTGGAGAGCTGCAGAATTCAGGACCACTGGTCCCTCCAGCCTGCTGGCTCCGCCTCTGCCTCAGTTTCTTCCCCAATGGCCCGCGTGCCAGTAGGGGTGAGTCAGGCCAAACGCCAGGGCGGAGGCGGATGGTGGTTAGCCTAATTACAGCTGTTATTGTTGCGATGATTATGCCACCTTTGCACAGTAGTTACTGCTTTATTACCAGGCTGGCACCGTCCGGGGGCTGGTTTTAGCAGCCGGAGGCATCGCTGTGACCCAGACAGGAGGCCCTTAAACCAGCTTGCTGCCCGAGGGCTGCAAGGATGCCCAAAGCGAGTATTCCCACTCCTTTTTGTTTTGAAGCAGAACCAACCAGGGAGAACCAAGTTTGATTTTTTTCAACAGCCAGAACTGTAGGAGGGGGCCTGGCCCACTTAGGGCGGGGCTGGGGCTTCAGTTACATCAACCACCACTGATGACTGGGGAAGTGGCCAGGAATAGAAACTTGGCCTAGGGCCTCAGGGGATTGTTGACTCTTGACTTTCTTGCCAAGCCATCTCTCCTGCTCTTTAGGGTTCTTGCAGTCAGCAAAGAGTAAATACACTCAGCGACATAAACCAGTACACAAAAACACCAGAGAGGCAGGGTGGAGAAGTGGTTAGCATTGCTGGTCTGGGAGTCAGGACGCCAGGGTTCAATTCACAGCCCCATGGCTGTCTCATGACTCACTACTCACAGTGTGTCTACCTCCCCTCTCTTCACAAACAGCTAAGAGCTCATACACTGCGGAGAAATTAAATAGCTCTTCCCCCCAGACCTCAGTTTTCCTTGGAAAACAAGAAATAGCAACAATGGCTTACCTCTGGTGATCCCTTCAGGGGTTCAGACTTGGTGGAGTCCATGGTTTCAACCTCACAGGGCCCACAAGGAGGGAGGCAGGTCTGCTGATCCTGTAGTTGCTGTACGTATAGCATAATCTTACAAAAAGAGTGAAAGCAGAAGGACCCAAATCTGCAAAAGAGCCTAGCAGACCCTAGGCCAATTATGAGGGTGTTCAGTGGTTGAAAGCACATATGACTTTTCTTAGTTGTGCTGTCAAGGGAAAGGTTATGCTGCAGAGGTCAACCACTAGCCAGAGGCACAGGCCTGCAGGGAAACCAGGGAAACTGCTGCTCAGAAACTGAGACTAGAGAACTCAATGAGAGATTCAAGAAGGATGGGGACTGGACTCGAGAGATAAAACCATTACCTGAACATTCTCACCATGACCAGCTCTGGCACTCTTGATAACCAGCGCCTACTGCACTTGACTGATAACACTTGTCCTTTCCTCTACATGGATCCTTCAACAACCAACCTCAACACACACAACTTCACTTCATCCATCCCAGTCCCCTTGTCTCCTAAGTGGAGAACTTCTTTTAAGAGATGAGAGGGGATAACCCATTCTGATATCCCATTCTTGAACAACCTGGCCTACCACAAACAGGAGTGAAAGCTAGCAGAGGAGCAGGTCGAACAGGGATGTCTGCCCAGGAGGAGATCAGGATCCTGAGGGATCGAAGGTGATATATGTGTTGAGTTTCCTGGAGGAGTTGTTTATCAGGTACCTATGAGGTGGTTGGCTGTGGGATATATATATCATGGATGCAAACATACATGTCACATGCAAACATTTTTCCTGGTATGTAATTAGTCATTTATTTTTATGTATAGTACCTTCACATAAATTTTAAACTCAGACTTAATCTTTCCCCATGTGCTTTCTTGGTTTTGTGTCATGCCTAAACCAACTCCACTCCTAGATTATGAATTATTCTCTAATATTTTATTCTAGGAGTTTTGAGGTCTGTTTTTATATTTAGATCTTTAATACACACCCTCCCTGGGAGATCTTTTCCACTCCATGCTGATGACTCTCAAACATGTATCTCTATTCCAACTGACATTCCTAAATTCACTGTCCTGTGGAGACATCAAACTTAATCTATGAAAAACTGAACTCTTCTCTTCTCCTTATCCCCCAATAAACTTGGTCCTTTTACCATCACCTCCTTCATTGAATGGCACAATGGGTCATACAGTTGCTGAAGTCAGAAACCTACTTGCTTTCTTGGCAGTCTCTTTCTATTCTCCTCCTTAGATCAACTCCTAAGTTATGCTCACTGGATCTCCTAAATTTCTCTAGGATTCACCCAATTCTCTCCAGCCCACTGTGACTATCCTTCTTTAGGCCTCTTTCATCATGCACTCAGGTAATTGCAGTTGCTACCTCTAACTGGTATCCCTGCCTTCTCCCTTATCCTCTCTGTAATCCAATCTCTACACTACAGCCAGTGTAGAGATTAAATTTATAAGATGTAAATTTAATCATGTCACCACCACCACCACCACCACCCCTCACCACTCCCCCCACCCCCCCTCCCCGCCTCCTACTTTTAAGCCTTTCAAAGCTTCTCCATCCCACTGCAGGATCAAGCTCAAACTCTAACATGGCCTATACAATCCTGCCATGATCTGGCACCTATGTGTCCACTACAAACTTAACTCTTTAGGATATGAACTCTTTTCATTCCTTGAACAGAGGATGCTCTTGTCTCAAGGTCTCCAGGAGCACTGGCCTTCCTTTTCACCGAGGTGACTTACTCATCCTACAGGTCACAGCTTCACATGTTTCTTCTGGGACCACCCCTCACAGCCCATGCACTGTCTCACTGTAATTCATCACATGGTATTTGATCTATAGGCAGTGAACCCCTTGAGGACAGGGCCCACGCCTGGCTTGTTCACCACTGAGTCTCCAGCACCTAGGACAGGGCCTGGCACTAAGTAGGTGCACAGTAAGCAGTGAATGTAGGAGTGAATGGATACGTGACGGCGAGTGTTTTCTAGAAGGCAGCGCTCAGTGACTGCGAACGTCTGGGTTTCCTGAGGGGTAAGGGCTAGGCGCACCCCCTCCAGAGTGTTAAGGAACGAACGCTAAACACAAATCCCAACTCCGCCCAGCCTCCACCGCACTGCGGCGGCGCCCCGCCCACTTCCGGCCCAGCTGAGGCGGAAGTGGAGGAGCGGGCTTCCCATGGTGCCCCGCGGAGTGTTTATTCTAACCGCACGCAGAAGAGGGAGGAGGTCGTGATGGCTGCACCGGAGCCGGAAGTGCTGTCTCCGGCCGCAGTACCGGGTAAGGCATGGGGTCCAGAGTTTGGGGAGACCTGGGGAACTCTTTCTTCCCTTCTGCCGCTCTCTTCAGTCATTTAGCCCTCGGGTCCCTTACAAGCCTGTCTTCCCTGTCTCCCCAGTATCCCGCCCCTTTCTGGCTCAGCCCATGACTCCATCGCCGTGGGTCGAGTTGGTTCACTCTCTGACATCGTTTAGGCGTTCTGGATCCCTCTTGACTACAATTTCGATTCATTTCCCCACATTAGAGCTCGTCGCTTTCTGAGCGGAGCCTTAGTCACTGCCTCCGAGATCCCACCACTATCGTTTAGGGGGGTTGTGGTTTTTTTTGAAACGAGGTCTTGCTCTGTCGCCCGGGCTAGAAAGGCACGATCATAGCTCACTGCAACCTCAAACTCCTGGGCTCAAGTGATCTTACTACCTCAGCCTCCCGAGTAGCTGGGACTACAGGCTTGCTTCACCACGCCTGGCTTATTTTTTTCTATTTTTCGTAGAGACGGGATCTCGCTCTTGCTCAGGCTGGTCTCGAACTCCTGAGTTCAAGCAATCCTCCCGCCTCGGCCTCCCAGAGTGCTAGGATTACAGGCGCAATCCTCCGCGCCTGTCCCCCACCTGCACTATCTTGTTGTCACTTAAATTACCCTAGGCAACAGGGATCAGGAATGTCTTCTCGCCTTGGCCCACGCAGGAGGTTGCAGAGGGTATGTGCGTGTGACAGGATGTTCCCTTCGCAGTAGTAACTGCTGTGATGACTGCAGGGAATGAGAAGACTGACTTTGGCCTTTAGGTTTTTCATTTTTCTCTCTTGTTCCTCTGTTCACCTACCAGATTTGGAGTGGTATGAGAAGTCAGAAGAAACTGACGCCCCCCAGATAGAACTACTTGAGACTACCTCTACCCAGGAACCTCCCAACCCTTCGGAACCCTTTTGCCCAAGAGACTGCATGGTACCAGTGGTGTTTCCTGGGCCCGTGAGCCAGGAGGGCTGCTGTCGATTTACTTGCGAACTTCTAAAGCATATCATGTACCAACGCCAGCAACTCCCTCTGCCCTATGAACAGCTTAAGCACTTCTATCGAAAAGCTTCTCCCCAGGTATGCAAAGGCTTTGGGAGAAATTTGGTGGAAAGACTTTGTGGCTCTTAGATGGTAGGCAGGTAGAAAAGGCGTCTAAGAAATCTTCAGAGCCTGTCAGCCTAAGCAGCTGCAGTCATATTCTGCCCACTCTAATCTGTAATAGTCAAACCCTCCCAGCCTTTTCTCTTGTTCCCTCTTTCTGAAACTCCTATTGTGTGTTGCATTTGCACTTTAAGAACTGGCTCTTTAAATTTTAGTTTCTTTTCTCTCCAGCTTTTCATCTCTTTGGTTTTTTTTCTACTTTCTGGGGGATTTCCTTGACTTTATTCTAACACTTCTGTTAATTTTTTAATTTTTGACAGTCATATTCTTAAGAACACTTTCTTAAGAATGCGTTCTTTTTTAATAGCATCCTGTTGTTTCATGTCTTATGAACTTCTGTTACCTGAGAATATTAATTATTGTATATTTGAACTTTCCCTTTGTTCTTTGCAGTGTCTCAGTTTCTTCTAGAACCATTTCCCATTTGTTTGTTTTGGTCTCTGACTTTAATGTTCATCATGTGTCTGGTGGACATTTAAGAATAAATTGCTTCTGATCTTGAACCTGAATTAAAAAAAATAATGGTAAATAAATAAATAAAAAGTAATAAAAATTTTTTTAAAAAAAAGAATAAATTGCTGCAAGCTCTGCGTGCATGCCTGGGTCTTACGGGCTGATATGGTTCACCATACGGAGACTGGATGGGAACCTGGTGGTCTCTTTGGAACTGGCCAAACAATAGTATTGGAAAGTCTTCCCTCTGGATGGGTGAGGAATTTGGCAGATGGTCTAAGCATCCTCACACAGGTTTTCATTCATTTCCTCCTGTGTTCACCCTTGCCTTCTGCAGGGCCTATATCGCCAATTACTAAACTTTTCTGGGGTTCTGTCACGTGAATTGGTTTGCTTCTCACGGGGATCCCCGCTGTCACCACTTGATATTCAGCTCTCTCAAATTCTTAACTCTTCCATCTGGTTTCGTCTATCTTCCAAAATTTTGTGGTTGCCTTTTGCCAGTATTGTCTATTCCATAGATCTCTTTCCTCTTGGGAATTTTCTTTCTCTCCCTTTCCTTCTTTTTTAATTTCTTTGATTTAGTAATATGTGAGATGGAAGCACAAATGAACATGTGTTCAACTTGCTGTGTTTATTTAACTGGAAGAACAACTCCAGAACCTTTTTTTTTTTTTTTTGGAGACACGGTCTCACTCTCGCCTAGGCTGGAGTACAGTGGCCCAGTCATAGCACACTGTAACCTCTAATTCCTGGGCTCGAGCTATCCTCCTTCCTCAGCTTCCCAAATAGCTAGGACTACAGGTGCTTGCTACCGTGTCCAGCTAATTTTGAAATTTTTGGTAGAGATAGTGTATTACTATGTTACCCAGGCTGGTTTCAAAATCCTGGGCTCAAGCAATACTCCTACCTTGACCTCCCAAAGTGTTGTGATTATAGGAGTGAGCCACCATGCCTGACCCAGAATCATCTTTATTAGACCAAATAATCTTCATTCCTCGTATTCCCTACAGTAAAAACGTGTCATCTTCTGCCATGCCTCCATATCTCCTTTACTACTTTAGTTGCTTATGTCTGGATGCCTTCCAACTGTCTTTGCTGTTTTGAATGAAGAATTATGGTTTTGTATAATACAAAGAATATATTTTCCTTTTCAATATAAATAATGTCCCCTGATAAAACACAGTATCTTGGCTATGGCAATTCCTTAAGCTAGAAATCCACTCTTGTAAGTCTGTCTATATATGCCAGCAGAGTTCTTCAAAGGGCATTAGCTTCCCCCTACCTTGTCCTCCTCTCATACCATTTTTTGTCCTCACAGGCAGAGGAGGTGGTGAGGAAGAAACCTCGGGCTGAAGTGAGCAGCAGGAAATGCCAACAAGCCCTGGCAGAACTAGAGAGTGTCCTCAGCCA